GCCTCCCCCCCCTACACCTGCCCATGCAATCCCACCCGCCGTCTTGCTTCTGGTGGGGCTGTGGGGAAGAAACTTGACCTTGGGAATGGGGGGCTATTGAGGCAGCCCCTCCCCCAGACCTGGGCATCTCTGAGAGCCCCGGCTCAGCCCCCTGGAATAAAAGGCTTCCTGCAGCTGCACTGTGGGCGGTCCCCCAGACAGCAATCTGGGGATTAGGACGCTCGGGTATCCGGGTCCTGCCCACGGCGCCCGGGCAGGTGCTGCCACCACACCTGGCAGGTGGGGGCAGAGAAGAACTGCAACAAAGGCTCCGGAGGGCAAGGGCCCAGCCTGGAGCCACTGGGCTCAGAGAGCCTCACACAGAAGCACCTCGCCCTGAGCCAGGAGCAGGAAGACAACCCACCGTGGAGCCCACCCAGGCCGGGGCCTCCGTGTGGTCAGCACTGCCTGGCTGCCTCCTCCTGGCCACCAACCACCTGCCCTTCCTGCCACCCAGGGTGGTGGGTGCCATGCAGACAGCAGCACCTCCATCCCTGGTCGCAGGTCAGTGGCCGCCTGGCTCCCTTGCCCTGGAGAAAGCAGGGAGGATACACCTATGCACCTCTCCCTGTGGCCCCTGTCCATCCGGGCACAGCCCCCGCTGCTCACCATGCCAGGTCTTCACTGAGCTTCCATGGCTGCCCCTGCCAACCCCAAGGGTCATTGTCCTGGGCCTCTGTGGGCATCTTACTGGACAGTGCTGGAATTCTCATCTTGACTCTAACACTGTCTGGTAACGATGTTCAAAGGTGACCCGCTGCTCGCCAAGATGCCTGAGGATGTGCCGCCCGGAGCTCCTGGACTCCACACAGGGCTGGAGGCCAGGCCGGGGGCCAGGCAGTGGGCCTGTCTCAGCTCTGGACCCAGAAGTCAGCATGGGGCTAGGCTCTGCCTGGGGTGGGCACCCCACTGCCACTGCAAGCCTGGGGAAGAGCTAGTTCCACTACACTGGGGACCTTTCGGTGCCTCCACAAGGGGAAGGGGCATCCTGCTCCCCCCTCCTTCCCCGAGCTCCCTCCCAGGCCAGGTTTTGGGGTGATGTGACCCCAGGAGAGACCATCAGGGCCAGGACTCTGGGGCTGGGGGAGGAGCAGCCCAGTCACCGTGCCTCTCACAGCATCAGGGCCCACTGGGGGACGCAGGGAGGGACTACAGTGGGTTTGGATGCCTGAGCCCAACGCACAGGGTGTGTGGAGACGTCCCACACTGTCCTGACCAAGCACAAGGAGTGTCCGTTCCCTCCCCTGCCAGCGAGATGGACCCGGGATTACCCATTGTTTTATCTTTTTGATCTGAAGCCAGGACACAGCCCCAGGACCTCCACCCGCACAAGGCCCCAGCCGGCCTCTGGGGGGATGGGGAGGAAGACGGGGCTGGGGAGAGGCTGTGGGGGAGGATGTCTGCCACTGGCCGCGCTGTTACTCATTAACCTGACCGAGAGTCATTCAGGAGCCCATGAGGTGCTGCACTGAGCATGTGCCCAAGATCAAGGGCAGGACAACCTGACCACTCTCCGGGTGCACCCCAAAACACTGCACCTGGGGGCTGGGGGCTGGGATTGGGTCAAGCAGGAAAACCCTTCTCAGTGCAGCCTGGGGCAAGGAGAGTCCTGGGAGGCTCCAGCCCAACCCCAGGGACAGGCAGACTCAGGGGGTCCTGGGACAGCTGTAGGACAGTGGGGGGAGGGCCACCCAGGGCCTTCCCTCAGCAGGCACCCCACTTGCCAGCCCAGGACCAGAGGGCTGCCCACACGCCGCCTGCCGATGGGCGTCTTACCAGACACAGTTAGATCTGGATCCTTCTGTCTAATACTGTCTGGTAATGCCGTCCATCCATGGCCTGATCACCACTGGAAGAGGCCCCCTCGCCCGGCTCCTCTGGGACCCTTGCTGGACACTGGGTAGAGGATGCAGCTTGGGGTCCATTGGTGCACAACTGCCCTGGCCATGGCCTGAGCCGGCCAGGACCTCCGCGCCCCGGGCCCCTGAATGCCTCCCTCTGACCTCGTGGTGGCTTTCTGTCACAGCCATGGCGGATGGTGGGTGTGATTAAGGGGGTGAGGCATGGGGTCTGCATCTGCCTACCTCAGGCACAAAGGCAGTTGGGGCCATCAGGGTGCAGCCGGGCCCCCACAGCACCCAGAGGGCCCCACACAGAGGGTGGCAGTGGTCACCAGGCTCCTGTAGATGCTGTAGCCACTGGCCTGTGGGCACTGCCACCAGGCTAGGGGAACTGGGGACTGCAGCCAGAGATGACCCAGAGCTCCGCCCTGGAACCTCTCCATGGAGGCGGCCTCAACCCTCAGCCCCCTCCCCATCTGTATGAGGCTGGGGGCCCAAACAGGATGAGGCAGAAACAGCCCCAGCCCCCTTAGTGCCCAAACCCAAGAGGGAAAGTGCAGGCGTGGCAGGTAGGGGGGCATCCCAGCCATCCCCACCCATGGCCACACCAGGACCCAGACCCCTGGGAGGTGCCAGGTGCAGGCCCCGTGCCTCAGCCCCAGAGGGCTCACTGTCCAGGTCCCCACAGGCCCATCTCTGAGGCTTAGGTGGTCAGGCGTGTTGCCCAGGTGTCAGGCAGGTGACTACCCCTGGGCCCCCACTCAGCAGCCCCCAATTCCTCCCCACAGAGGCTCACCGAGATGTCCTCTGTCTGAAGCTGTCCCCAAAACCAAACTCTAGATGCTAAGCCACCCACCAGCCCCTCAGTTCCCCCGGGAGTGTGAAGCAGGCAGGTCCTTGCGAAGTGACTGTTAATGCAGCTTTGAAATGACTCCAAGCACGCACTTTGCTGCGTGAGTGACATATTTTGCTGTAATAAGAAGTTGGAGTGGGATCCCCCTCCCCGCAAGACGTGAGGTCGCCCTTATCAGACCCCGGTGTGAGCTGCTGACCTCCACTCTTGGACTCCAAAGTACATATGAACCCGAGTTCCGCAGACCCTTTGAGAGCTCAGGCTCGGGCAGGGCCACACCGTGTCACCTGTGAACTCTCTCCCACGCCTTGCCAGCCTCACTGGCCACATGGGCATCGCCCTCTAGCGTCGCGGGTCCTCGCCTATCCTCGCAGATGCTGCTGTTGGTCACCAGCCAGTCTGTCCCGAGAACCTGGCGCTTCCGTCACTGCCCACAGAGGCTGCTTCCATCCTGACCGCGACCAGATGTGCGTGTCCGGGCTCTGGAGCCGCTCGCTGCACGGCCGTGTGGCGCGTCTGCCCAGCGAGACTGGTTCTCACCTGCTCCCTCTGCTGCGTGTGAAAATAAACTGTGATTTGTGAGCTCGTGTTTTGATCATCTGCTTATTTTAACTACATAAGACATTGACCCACTGCTTTGCAAAGGACCAGGCTGAGGATGGAGCCTCCCCCCGTCCCTCTCTGCTCCCTCCCCCCTTCCCCTTGCTCACCTTGTCTTTCCTGAATCTTCCGTGGCCAGCTCAGTTCTAAACATTGGGGGAAGGAGGAAAGACCCTGAGCAGGAAGGACAGGACATGTCAGGTGGGCAGTCTGTGCTGCAGGAAGCCAAGGGGCAGGGGCAGCCATTCCAGATGGGCTGGGAGGGCCTCCCTGAGCAGGTGACCGACAGGGGGCCTTGTGGACACCAGCAGTGGGTCAGAGACTGGAGGCAGCACAGGGGCCAGCAAGGAGGCCATGAGGTCCAGCTGTCCAAGGCAGCCCCAGTGACCAAGCTTCAAGACAGCGAGCAAAGGGACCCACTCCCCATGAGGGGCAGGGCCTGACCTGCCTGGAGACCCCCACCCACTGCTGCAGGAGGGGGTGCCAGGACTCTCCCCACTTCACCTGGCCCTGTGGGTACAAGACCGTCCACCCCCTCCTTGATACAAAGGCTGAGCACACTCATGGCCGGAGACCCTGCACCCTGCCCACGAGCCCCTTGGGGATGCTTCACTTGAGGCTGCAGATGCCTGGTCAGCAGCCTCAGCACCCAGCATTTTGGGTTATGAGGCAGTTCTTGAGTTTGAGCTCTCAGTACCCAGTGGCCTGGCCCAGGAGCCCAGGAGCCTCCCAGGGGTCCAGGCCCCTCGAAGTGACTCAGGGAGGGGGATAGCAGTGGTGGCTCCCAGGGTCCGTGAGTGGCCCCAGAGAGGAGAGGTCTGCAGGAGGCAGGGGACGGGCCTGCGGCCCCGCCTCAGCCGCCACACGAGCTGCGCAGGGACATGAGGAAGTCCTTTGCAGTGTACACCCCAGAACACACCCGCCAAAGATAAGGTGCTCTGTGCAGATGGGGCTCCTCCTCCCAGCCCAGAGGCCAGGACCCCCGCTCCAGCTCTGGTCTGGGAAGGGTCAGCACTGGGGTGGGAGCTGGGGAGTCCTCAGCCAAGGCCGGCTGCTGCTGGGCTACCTGACAGGGACCTCCCCGGGCCAGAAGTGGGCATGGCTGTGGCCCTCAGGGAGGAAGGGGCATACAGAGAGCCCCTGGGCTGAGAGGGCAGCAGGAGCCACACAAGGGCCCCTGGTCACCCCTACCAGGTGGCCCCTGCACCCCGCAGGCTCAGGCTGGAGGCCGTCAGCTCCCAGGGTCGGGATGCCCCAATTGCTCAGTCCAGGGCTGGTGGAGGGGCTCCCTGCCCCAGCCCAGCTGCAGCCCCCACCCTGCCAGGCTGACTTATGGCCACTGCAGGGCAGAGGGGACCCCTGGGCCTGCTCTGGACCATGCTCCAGAAGAACCGACTGAAGGCCCCAGCACCTGGCATGATCAGGCACAGTTGGGCTGGGGTCAGGGACAAGAAGCAGCCCCCACAGACAGAAAAGGGAGGAAGGGCTGTAAAATCCCAATCCTCGGCCTCCAAATGCTCCCTCTACCCGACAGGTGGGGCCCCTCCAATACCCGCCAAGCTCCTGCAGGGGCAGCATCCCACCCTGGGCAGCTGAGACTCCAGGGTGAAGAGGGGCTTCAGGGGTGTATTGACTTCCTGGGGCTGCCTTAAAAAATTACAACCAGGTGGCTTAAAACAACAACTTTATTCTCTCACTGTTCTGAGGCCAGAAGCCCCAAGTCAAGGTGTGGGTAGGCCGCGCCCTCCGAGGCTCCAGGGCAGGTGCCTCCTGCCACGGCCAGCCCCGGCTCCCACTCACACGGCCTCCTCCTCTTCTCTCTGCCCCCCTTGGGAGGATGCTGGTCACTGGATTTAGGGCCCACCTGGGTAATGCAAGACGATCTCATCTGAGATCCTGACTTAATTCCACCTGCAAAGACCCTTTTCTAAATAAGGTCCCATTGCAGGCACAGGACCAAGGACATGGTCATATCTTTAGGGCCCATGCAGCTCCTGCAAGGGGACCCTAAGCAGAGACCCTCATGACCACACAGCTCTGAAAGACGACAGGGGCATGCAGGGTACCTGGCTAGAAGCTGGAGGCTCAGGATCAGACTGTATCCTGCCGGCCTGGGCCAGGCACCTGGAGTCCCTGGTCCCCCAGACCCAGTGGGGCCCCCTCTACCACCCCTTCAGAAACCATCTCCAGGGCCACTCCGAGCAGGCGGGTGCAGGGCCTGAGCACAGACTGGGGGTCCGTGAGAAGGCACAGAGACAATCCTGGGAGGGTCGGGAAGAGGATGGGGAAGTGCGGGGGGCAGTGACCCCGGGCTCAAGCCCTGTAGTGAAGGGGCTGTACTCACAGGCCCCTTCCTCCTCCAGCCTCAGTGGCCCCCTAGCTAGCTTCCTGCTACCCATATTCTCCAGCTTGACCCCACTGCCCCTGCCCTGCCCTGCGCAGTGACCCCGGGCTCAAGCCCTGTAGTGAAGGGGCTGTACTCACAGGCCCCTTCCTCCTCCAGCCTCAGTGGCCTCCTAGCTAGCTTCCTGCTACCCATATTCTCCAGCTTGACCCCACTGCCCCTGCCCTGCCCTGCCCCTGCCCAGCTTCCCCGCCTGGCTGCCCCTCGGCTCAGACCAAGGCCCCATCCCCCTCCACCTAAAACCCATGTTTACCTCTGGGCTCCCCTGGATCACAGTTGCCAGGAGACGGTTGCCGGGAAACAGTTGCTAGTTCACCACTGTTGTTTCCCAGCAGAGGCTCCCGCAACCTTGTCGGGCAGGTGAGAGGGACAGGCAGGCCACCAGCCGAGGTCCTGGCCAGGCCATAAGGCTTGGCACTGCCTTCCTGTGCCCCTCCCAGCCACCAGGCCTGGCCCTTATGGTTCCTCTCAGGATTCTGCCCAGGAACAGAAGGAAAGCGGGGGAAGGGACTGGACAGAGACTTGGGGGAAGGGGTGGGCGTGGCTTGGCTGGGCTGAGCCTTCTCTGCAAGGCCACCCTTGTGTCCCAGACCCTAGCACTGCTGTTTGAGGGGTACAGACCCCCAGGCTGGTCTGGGAAAGGGCGTGTCTCTTGGGGAGGGGGTGAGTCCTGAGCGGGTGACTGGGGTCTGGGGAGGGCTGGGCACCTGGGACCAGGTCTGTCTCCCCAGAACGGAGCCCCAGAAGGGTGGCCTCTGGAAATCCACAGGGCCCGGCATCCCCCCCACCCCTGACAGCTTGCCCCTGGCCAGGAGGCTTCAGCCTTCAAACGATGTCAGCACCTTCAAGTGCCCAGTGTCACCAAACATATATTTGGGGGGGGAACTCATGGCAGGACACTGACCTGCTGTCATTTTTCTTGGATGTCTTCTTCAGGTTTAAAAGTATCTTCTGTTCATCATACCAGTGTGTGGCTTCCTGCCGGTCTTTTTATCTGACCAGGTAAAAAGTTTATTTTAAAATTAATGATAAAGTTGCGAGCCTCCTGCCTGGCCCCCCACACCGAGTTCTTGCCTGCGCTTTTCGTAGCATCCCAGGGGGAGATCCGGGAGCTCCTCTGCTCTGGGGAGGGCTCGCCCCCCACGTCCCACCGTCATACATACAGCACCGACCAACATCTCTGAGCGGAGAGCTTGGTTTCTGGATTAAGAATTGTGCCCTCCAGAGAGACCCATGCAGCGCACTTGCTAGATCAGAGCCCGCGGCTCTCCCAGTGTTTCTGCCTGCAGCGGCAGCGCGGGACACCACATCCGCCACACGCATGGCCCGGGGCCTCCAGAAAAGTCTTTAATTCAAAAAGTAGTAACTCATGGCTTAGTTCTTTATGAAAATAATAAATATACAAAGTTAAGAACATCAAACAGAAAGGTAAGGCTGATAATGAAAACCACACACACACACACACACACACACACACACACACACACACACACACACACGCTGCCAGCTCTTCTAGAAGTTTCTTCCGTGGCAGAAGACCCGGAGGTCACCCTGGCAAGGGGAGGGGCGGGGGATGCTGTTTCTCCGTTCCACTGTCCTTACCAGCGCCCTGCCGCTGCCGGATTTGAATGTCCTCCGCGGAAGTCATCTGTCGACTCCGGACTTTGAATGAGGGTTTGCTCTCGCGCACACGTTTACAGCATCCGTGCAAACAGCGTGTGCCAGCACTGTCTTCGCTTGTTTCTGCACTTGCTTGTCCCTAGAGTCCCCAAGCTCTGCCATCGCCTCAAGGCCACCCTCCTCCTGTCCTGGCAAGTTGTGTGCAGGAACCCCCCC